ATACTTTTTTTTTTACATTTCATTACAAAAATTACAGTAAACAAAACCAGATAGAGGAGGGAATAAACACAGAAACAGACTAGTATAAAAAAATCAATTTAAGAAAGAAAAAAAAAAGATTATGTCGTGTTTGAAAAGATACTCGAAAAGTTGGGAATCTTATCAACATGCATCAACGCACGCTCGGCAATCTGCTTCGTTCGATAATCGCCATGCTGGAAAGAATCAACCAACGCTGTACTTACATTAGGATCATCCGCAACAACGTAAGCAATCTCCTCACTCCTCAACAATCTCTCAACTGTCCAAACAGCCCTTCTTGTAAGATTCTCCGTTCGTTTCTCGAGCAAAACATCGAGTATCGGTTTCACTGCCTCAGCATCTATAAGTACCTGCACACCCTCTTCTATTACAACACCGTCATCCAACAAAGTGGCCAATGCCGCCAGCGAAGCCTCCACCACCTTCTCGTTTTTGTGGTCCAAAAGTGCCACCAGTTTATCCACCGCCTGCCCTTCCAGCAGACAAAATGTTTCCTTCAAGGAACAAGCCCCTCGATGCACGCGGCACAATCCCGTTATGACAGCTGGCTTGCTCAAGCAGGGGAATATCGAGGCACAAAAACGAGGTGGAGGGTATTCTGGTAATTTTGTTAAATTTTTCGTTTCTTGTGACAGGTTCTCTAAAGCTGTGGCGGATGCCATCTGTACGTTATCCAATCCGTTGGTTTGCAGAAGTTCGATAAAAAGCGAAGCTAGGTTATTCTCACGGCAAACTTGAAAAGCAGACTGTTCAGACAAGGCAAAAGTGATTCTTGAAAGAACCTTAACGAGCCCTTCTAGATAGGGTGTCATAAAACGGTTCCCTCTCGTTTCGCCTTGTCGTATACTAACAATTCTCGAAATAAATGACTGAAACGCCCCTTCGTTCAGCATCTGTCTCGTCAAACCCTTGTCTTGTTCGGGGAGGTCGGCTAGCAGACAAACAGCTGCCGCCTGCTCCTCTGTTATTACAGCGCTTTCCGACACCAATGCGATTAAGCTGCTGAGCTGGCCAGATGGGCCCCGCAGTGAGCTGGCAAGCTCATTGCCCATGTGAGGTGACAGATTCTGAAGTAGCTTCAAAGAAGCCACACATAAATCTCTCTGGGGCGCCTCGATGAACTGAACCAAACTGTTGGTGGCACCGGAGCTTTTGATAGCGTACACGACGCTCGAGACAGATGTCGCCGGAGGATTGGTCAGCCCGACGAGGATTTGGATAAGCTTACACTCGATTGTGGGACCCGTGTTGCTGATGAGGTGGAGGAGATTGTGGATTGTTTCCTCTGAGGCTAGGGTTTGCCGACCGGGCCCCACCGGAATGGAGTCGAAATCGTGGCCGGAGTTGACTACATTGGCGAGGATGGTGGCGGAGACTTCTTTGAGGCGCATGGGGAGTTGATTCGATCCGACCGTGAAGAGGTCTTTGACTAGCGGGGGGAGAATTCCAGCCTCGATCAAGATTTTCGCACTTTCTTCATACGATGAAATTTGGTTTAGTGCTTTGAGAGCGGCCTCTCTTGACTGCATGTTGTTGTGCTTCATGAGGTTTACGAGTGAGAAACCGACTGTTCTTGCCACGTAGACTCTTGCATCGTTGTTTAGGACAAGTTCGCCGAGGTATGTTGCCATCGATAATTTAGTTTCTTGAGATCCTGCAAAAAAAAAATTGTTAGAATCTCGAAATTGTTAAATATGGTTGAACTTTAGGAAACACACGTGAAAAAAAAGACTAAAATAACCTTTACCATTTAGTGATGTGATCAGAGAGATAAGGGTAAAATGGGAATAAGTGCATTTAATGCATACTTGGAATTCTAAAGATACAGATAATATGTAAAGCGACATATAATATGGACAATATATTGAACCTTCTAGAAGAAGTGTGAGAAGAGGCTGCAATCTTCCACTTTCAGCCATTTGTCTTACGTTGTTCTCACACTGTGCAAGATTATCGAGGGTTTTATCGGCCTTTTCGACTGTAATAAGATTCTCCGAGTTGCTGCTAGCCATTCCCACTAAAATGAGAATCGCCCCGTTAACCGAACCAATCTTTTCACACAGCCTTTCGGATTTGGAAAGCTCGTAAAGCAACGAAACAGCTTCTTCTCTCTCTTTCGACTGCTCGTGTGACAAGAATTTTACTATCGTTCTCACAGTCACCCCTTCAGCCATTATTTCCTGCACGAATACTAACACAACTCAATCTCAAACTAATGACGATAAAAAAATGAAAAAAAATAAAAATCAAGAAAATTTTCGACAAACCTTATTATCGGAATCTTCCTCGACCACAATCCGAAGGGTTTCGAGAGAAGTGCACCTAACCCTACGGCTACTGCTCTTCAACACATCAACAATCATCGGTATCAAATCGGCATTCCGTATCACTTGCTTGTTAACGGGATTGTTGAGGCAGAGGTGCTGCACGAATTTCAGTGCCTGAAGAATATCGTTTTCCGGTATGTTCAACGACAGGCATCTCCGAGCCATGTCGAGCTTTGCCGCTTCGTTTCTCGCATTCCACTCTTCGATGGTGTGGCGCAAGGCGATGCTTGGGTTCAGTTCCGTGCTTCGTAGCTCTCGAAGTGTCAGGGGGCAAGTCGGTCTTTTTCCGGCTTCTCTGCACTCGTTGAGCCATTTCTCGATGGCTGCTCGCTCGAACGTTTGCCCGTTTTCTAAAGTAACGGGATCGTGCATCACTTGTTTGGATAACGGGCATAGGAAGGAATCATAGATTGGCTCGATACGGAGCCTTTCGAAATGGTGGCTCTCTTCGGATTGAGAAGCTGAGTCATTGTTACTACTGCTTCCATCCCAGCTCTCCGCCATTAAATCTTTAACCAGATATATTCGAAATAATCAATATTTTTTATTTATATATATATACTATATACAGAAATCAAAACAATTTGTTGACACATCTAAACCTTAGTTATTCTTGTTCTCAAGAACAACCTCTGATCATCAATCATGAAGACCTAATTAATTAATATACAAATTAGACCCAAAACCCATCTCAACATAGTATTATTTCAACAAAATTCCCAAAGCCCACGTGGCAAAACAGCAAGAAATTTGCCCAATCCCACAATTAATCAACATTTTTAACATTAAAAAAAAATAAATTATTGAACTATAATTACCTTAAAAGAAGAATCTTGCAGATGCTTTTGCTGGGGGGAATTAAACTCAATTTCGAAATCAAATTGTGATCAAGAAACACAATAAAGCAGAGAAAAAGCGGTTAAGTATGTGTTTGTATTCCGATTACCGACCATGAATCTTGAATCATGGATTCTTGGGGGAAAAAGATGAGGAAGGAAGAGGTGGCCAGGTGTTACAGCTTTGGAAATCAAAGACAAAAGGAAAACAACAAACAACATTTATTTAGTTAAAAGAAAAAAAAATTAAAAAAAGAAAATCTTGAAAATGGAAGCGTTGACTGAGAGCAGAATAGTCTTCGTTGTTGAACAGTAGATTGTACGCAGCAGTTGTAGTGTTGGGGACAACGTGAAGAAATTTCTTGGTCGTGGGATCTTACTTACTGTATACAACCGCCAGCCTGGCGGTTTGTTAATCCTAATTAATAATTATATATTATAATTATAATTAGTAATTAGTTAATAATATGTTTAATTCGTGAGATTTAACTGAAAGTGAAATTGGCAATTAAATTTGTATGTATTTTGAGCACACATGTACGAGGGTTATGTCGGGATCGTTTTGATTAATGAAGGGCATTTCAGACATTTTCAGATAAATAGAGAGCTAACAGTAGTGATGAGGACTAAATTGTACAGGAAACTAGACAATAATTTTTACAAGCTAAAATCACTATATAAGAAGAATATATGATACTGTATGGAAAAATTACAATTTTTATCTATCAAGTTTGCATCGATTTCATATTTGGTCCTCTATGTTTACAAAAAATATATTTTCGCACTTATGCTTAAAAAAATCAATGATTTTAGTCCTTCACGTCAATCTTTGTTTAAAACTAACTGAATCAAGCACGTGCCTATCACTAACGATAAAATAATGTAAATGACAAAAAATATTAAATTATTGAAACATGAGGGATCAAATGTATTTTTTGTGAATATTGAAGACCAAATATGAAATTGGTGCAAACTTGAGGGGCAAAACTGTAATTTCCCCGAAATTGTATTATCCAAATGAAGAAACGCTTTCTAGGTCTAATGAAAGGTTCGAAAAACTTTGAAATGGTTGAAACCAATGTTGTCAGAACCGAATCGGATATAAAACCGGATCAATATTTGGGTCACGGTCGGGTCTACCCGGGTTTTTTAATTCTTTAAAATTTTAATTATTTTATTAGTTATAATATTTTAAATTTACTATTTTCTATGTTTTTTTATATATTTCAAACACTTTATTGATTTTATTATTCTGTTCTGTTATACATATTTCCCTTACTATTCACCACAATCATTTTTTTAATATTTTTTCACCTCTCTCTCCACGTTCTCTCTCCTCTCTCATCTCTCATCATCTCTCCCACACCTTCTTCCCTCGTAACTGCAAAACACCT